TGTGTCTTATTTGCATGCAGTTTAAGAAATGGGATTACTGTAAAATGCCATCAATAATAGATTACTGAAATGAAGGTAAACACACAGATTGACTCACCCTATGAGTGAAGCCTGATTAATCCAAGTGATCAAGTTTAAATATGGGAGGGTGCTACACATTTTAAGGAGGGAGTATACAGAAAGAGACTAATCTAACACATGTGTCTGGCAGGTGCAGTGAGAGTGCTGTGCAGTGATGGGGTTTAAGCATCTCCTTTGAAGTCAAGTATATCATGGCTGCCCACTATAGCCTCCTTTGGACCTCCCGCCCCTTCTCAGAGGGAATAAGTGTGGTATTGCTGCGGGACTGAGGGTGGGGGTGGGGGTTGGGGGGCATTTAAAGCAGCATTTCAAGGGAATCAGGCCTGCTTTACAAACTCTCTAGGCCCTGTGACCAGGCCCTCGTCTCCCTCTTAACTCTACCCGCACTAATCAATCTCCTCTGCTTTCTTCACGGTAAAGAGAGATGGGGAGAGGAAGAGAGACACAGAGAAGCAGACGGTGAGCAAAAGAAAAAAAAACGCTGAGAGGAGAGAGAAAGAAAAGAATGGAATAGGTGAAAAGTCTGAGTTCGTTTCGGACATGGAGCACTCACTCTCTCGCTCTGTTGTCACCCAGGGCCCAGCTACTGAATATGCATGTCCCGGGCAGTGGAGGAGCCCAAAGCAATTGCAGACTCTCATTCTTCCTGCAGTGAAGTTTACTCCAGACTATTCCATGGAGAGCTGGGCCTCCATGTTAGTGCTGTTTGACGAGTGCATGGGGCTCCCACTTAGAAAGCCAAGAGTCTTGTATAGGCGTTGTAAAGAGATCTGTGCAGAGCCCCACTGGCTGCTGAAATGGCAAGGCTGGATCTCTGATGTCATTGTCAACTGATAAGGGAGTTATCAGGACAAGCTACAATGACTTTTAGAGGCTGTATTAAAGGGTAAGTGGCAGTAAAAACAACAACAATTTGGCTTGCCACTGACATGTTGGAAACATTTGAGGGGCAGTGTGGTTAGGGCCAGAGGATGAGTGATAAACTCATTTGAAAAAGGACAATGTATAAATATATAGTACAGGCTCAGGTAAATTAAGATTTAATGCAACAAAAACTGAGGTGGGACTTTTACTCAGGAAAAAAACATGTCATACTGTTGATAGAATGACTGAAAACTGAAATTTTATTTAATGTGTGTCTCTGTGTAAGTGTGTGTGTGTCTTACATAATTAGCAGTGCTGTCTGACCCTTCGTATCGGATTACGGCCAGGACAAAGCAGAGGTACTCCTGAATGGTTAGGGGCTTGTTGTAGAAACCGTGGTACATCTTCTCATCACCCAGAACGAAGGTGGCCGGCAGTGTGTCCAACTTGGCAGCAATGTAAGGCTTGGAAGAATCCAGGTGACGCCGGCGCCTCAGGACAGGGTTTTCACTTGACTTGAGTAACTGTGGAAAATGTAGAGGTCAAAGGTTAAGGCTGAGATTGGCTACAAAGAGTCAGATGAGTAGGACCCTGAGCCCCGATCTCTTTTTAGAGGAGAAGCAAGAAGATACAATAACATGGAAGCCAGCAGCACAGTTGTCACAGCAATCTGTGGAACTTTGCCAGAAAAAAATTGTTCAGTTGTTTTTGAAAAACTCCTAATTTATGTGTCATAATGCAAATGGATGCCCTAACTTCCATCAACTCATAAAAAAACTCCCTCAGCGTTTGCACTATCCTCCATGTCCAGGTCTGGTTCATATCATGCCTCCAAAGCAGAGATAATGATTCCACACAGTTAAAATGCCCTTTGCAGTGATATAACTTAGCAAACAATGCAGCCAAGCAATGAAGTGAGCAATTAGTGCTTGCTCCGGCACACAATCGCAGCATGACTCCCAGCCTGGTTAATAAATGAGCAGGAGCCTACAGCACTGCGGTATTGCGTTTTCAGCAGCATTTTGTTTTGTGTCAGTGATGTTTCATGTGCTGCTCCAGATGTAGCTTTATTAAATCATTATGTCAGAGGGAGGAGACAATGGCCTCCTCAGTGTTTAATAACTCAGGGGGTCCCATCTCTCTCGCTCTTGGTCTTTTCTGTTATTTCTACAGGGAGTTTTAACAATAGCAATCCAAACCAGCGAGCCTTGGAATTTACTTTAAAATGATGCTATTGATATTTGGGCATGTCATTTAGCTTGAATTCCCTCATGGACATGAAAAACCTTTATTTAACAGAATAATAAAGCAATCATAAATATTTATACTCATTTGAATATCTTATGTAAATCTTTGTTTGGACTTGTCAAACCCTAACTATAAAGACTGGTAAAGCAGTAATTTGTAAGTGCTAAATAAAGTTCACTGTTAACATCTACATAATAATCAATAGTTATATAATATTAAGATTATTATTAGCACAA